GAAAGAGCTCTCTGTAAGCAGCTAGATATTACATACTTACTTACATACAACATTCTCTGTCTGTGTCTTCTTCTGCAGCAGACTGTGCTGGGCAGAGCCCTCCCCCCTTTTATTTACAGCACAGGGAGAAAGGCAGAGCTCAGAAAAAGTGCAGGAATTGTATTAAGTCTTTCTACTTTTCTCTTCTTACGCTTCTACTATTCCTTCAACCTGTGCTTGAAATGTTCCTTTTCTGATACAAGTACAAAACCAAAATGCTTGGTACGCTATCAATCTAGATTAGGGGTAGGCAACCTTTGAGAGGTGGAGATCTACTTGAACAACTTGAAAGAGATCAAAGATCACCGGGGTTCAACGCCATTAAAAAAATATTAACTAGCGAGGCCTAACTAAATAGCAAGGAAAATGTAGAAAAATATAATAAAACAAATGCCACTGTAAAAATACAGACTTAGCCTAATTTAAAAATGGACAGTGTCAGTCAGTAGGGCAGTGGACAGTGTCAGTAGGGCAGAGCTTGTTGTCAGTCAGTAGAGCAGTGGATGGCGTCAGGCAGCAAGGCAGTGGATAGCGTCAGTAGGGCAGAGGTTGGTGTCAGTAAGTAGTGCAGTGGATGATGTCAGTCAGTAGGGCAGTGGATGGTGTCAGTAGGGCAGAGGTTGGTGTCAGTCAGTAGAGAAGTGGATGGTGTCAGTAGAGCAGTGGACAGTGTCAGTAGGGCAGAGGTTGGTGTCAGTAGGACAGTGGATTTCTTTAGGAGCCCCATTGAAAGGGGAGCACTTGGGGGAGGAGCCAGGCAGCAGAAAAAAGGAGTAACAAGGACAGGATGGGCAGCTGGGGAGGCGTTTACTAGAACCGTTCCCCTAGATTTTCCAGCAGCAGCTGTACGCTGGTGGGAGGGCGAGGAGGAGATTCTAGCTTTTAGTTGCTCCAGAAGGACAATATGGGATTGTTAGAGGTCAGGTATTTAAAATATCTGAACTCCCAGCAAGTGGCTAGGGGTTGGGATCCCCCCCCCTACTCTGGTGCCCTAAGGCAGCCAGATTTTTAAAATACCTATCCATGGGAGGGAAAGGGGGGGGAGTGGACACTGCTGGTGGGGGGGGGGGTGGCTAGAGGTCACTGCTATGGAGGAAAGGGGGGGGCAGAGGACAATGCTGGGGAAAAGAAAGGGGCCAGAGGTCACTACTATGGGAGAAAGGGGGGGCAGTGGACACTACTGTAGGGGGGGGTGATGTGAAGGATGGTAAAGGACACTGCTATGATGGTGGCCCTGCCCATAGCAGTGTCCTCTGCACATCACCTCCCCCCCCCCCCCCCCGTAGTGTCCTCTGCCACCCCTTACCCCATAGCAGTGACCTCTAGCCCCCTTATCCCCCCCCCAGCAATGTCTTCTGCTACCTTTTCTCCCAGCCTCCTCCGCTGCTGCTGTCATTCTCAGTGCACAGCGGAGAGCGGAGGACAGCACGGCTCAGGATGGAGAGCAGGAGGAGAGAGATGGCCAAATTAACTTTTCATATTAACAAGTTGGTAATTGATTGCTAGGACCTGCGGGGTAATATGAAAAGTTCATTTAGCCAGCTACTCCTCCTGCCCTCCATCCTGAGCCGTGCTGTCCTCCGCTCTCCGCTGTGCACTGAGAATGACAGCAGCAGCGGAGGAGGCTGGGGGAAAAGGGGGGGAGACCTGTTTGCGGTCTACCTGTCAGCTGCCTGCTTTTGATAGGTAGACCACAATCGACGGGTTGCTGAACCCCAATCTAGATAGTAAGTACCGTTGTATATCATTAATGATCAGCATATCCAACGAAGAATGTAATACCACAGAGGAATGCTATACTTTTTGGTTCCTCTGAACCAGATGTTTTGTGCATCTTGCATTTTTTTTATATCTTAAAGTTTCAATAAACATTTTGAGCAAGAAAAATGTATTAAAGTAATAAAACAATGTTTTTTTTTTACATTTCATAGTATACCATTAAAGTGTGTCAAGGGAAAAACAAATACATTTTTTGCAGTTGAGGATAGAGTGTGAAAAGGAACAAAACACTGGCAGGTCACCTGGGTCTCTCTTAATTAAAGAGATTTACCCTCCTCTGATGACACTTTCACCAGACAGGAAGTGAGGTACGCCATTAGTAATAAAAACCTAATAGGGGTTCTAGCCTTCTCTTACTCTAATTCAGTGCTTCTCAAATAGTGGGGTGTGCCCCAGGCTCCATCAAGGGGGGCGCGTTTGACCTCGGGGAACATACCGTATTTTCCGGCGTATAAGACGACTTTTTGACCCTTGAAAATCTTCTCAAAAGTCGGGGGTCGTCTTATACGCCGGTATACGTTAGGGTGGAAATTTTTTTGGGGGGCGGCGTGGTGCCGCCGCCGTCCCCCCCCCCTTCCGACAGAAGGGACACTAAGTACAGGGGTGGGCAGAGGGCTGCAGTCTCTTACCTGGCTCCCACGATGATCCATCCAGGAAGCGCTGCTCCTTCCGTCACTCCGGCCACTCCCTCACTCCTGCCACTCGGCTCCGCCTCCTCACCGGTGATTGGCCGCCAGAACTGTAGCTCAGGAAAGGTACACAGGCGGCCAATCACAGGCGAGGAGGCGGAGCCGAGCGGACCCGCGAAAATCGAGTGAGGGAAAAGCCGGTAAGTGTGCAGTGCAGAGGTGCTGCTGCAACCACATATGCTGGCTGCAGCAGCACCATACTGCAACAGGGGTCAGCAAGTGTCATTGGTGTCAGTGGGAGGAATAGTGCTGCATCATTGGTGTCACTGATACTAATGATGGGGCATTATTCCTCCCACTGACACCAACGATGGGGCACTATTCCTAAGTAAATGTTGGTGATCGGTTTGAATTCATTATTATTTATTGATTTTATGTATTTTTTCAGTATCTTATGGTTTGACATGTCCAATCAAAAAACGTTTATAGTTTAATTAAGGATTTAATTTTTTTTGAATTTCTAATGCACTTTAAATCTTTTCTGCTACAGTTAATAAAGCTATTCTTTGTTGTAAATTGATCCACATTTCTTTCTTTTTTTATTCTCTTATACGTTAATAAGGATACAGTGTTATGCAGAGGTGTACTTATAACAATTTTATAGACAAATGATACTATTTACAGTCACCGGGGGGCGCAAAATGTTTTCTTCTTCCTAGGGGGGGCATGACAGAAAATAATTGAGAAGCACTGCTCTAATTAAAGAAAAACACACATTTTTGTTTTTGCCTGTGTTGATTTTGGAGATCTCTTCATTTCCTGCTTTGTAAAACACTGTCAGCGTTGGTGATGGTACAGTAATCCTGTACAGTAAATATCTCTAAAAAGCCATGGGTAGCAGTAAAAACCTAGCAGGGGCTCTAATCCATCAACTCTTTGCAAGTAAGAACATTTTTTGGCTGGACATGTTCTTTAAAACTGTCTGTAATCGTGAATGTTGAACACACTGCTCTTTATTATTAATATTTATGGCTCTGAAAATAAAAGTGATTTTTTTTTAACATGGTTTTACTAATTTTTACTTACATTCTCTTCTAAGAACTAGAAGAATTATAATAAGTAATCCCATGTGATATACATATATGTATATATACCTTTTGTGCAAAGCTCTCCTGTGTAGTTTTCTGTACAGTGACAACGATTATTGACACAAATTCCTCCATTTTGACATTCCAGAAGGCAGGGAGGTGGAGGGGTAGGATCAGGCGGTTCTATAAAAAAATAACCATTTTTAGTGAATTAGAAAGACATCATATACTGGAGAATGAATGCTGTAAATATACCATTGCTGCTTCTTTTTTTTAACATAACAAAAACTATAGCCGATTTACTGTACATCTATGTGTTGCGGCAATGTGCTCATTACTGCACCTTGCAGCAATGCACATTACAAGCCATTACATTCATTTTGAATAGCACCCAATGCACATGCATTGCAACACAATGCAACATGGAGCAGCACAGTGCATTGTGGCTAAAATTGCGTAATACCTTGTATGTCCAATAATTGAAATATTTTTGTTCATTGGAAGCTGCATTAAAAGAGAATCCCACATCCCAAAATTTTAAGCAGTGCTTTATTAACCTATTGAATTACTGTATATACTTATGTCAGCTGCGGGATAGCCCACTATCAGCTGACACTAGATCACAGGATTACAAAAGTAAATGTACTCATATAACTCAAAAAAGAAGCAAAGTCAAAAAAACTTTGCCTATACTTAGGGCGGCACAGTGGCTAAATAGTTTGCACTTCCACCTGGCAATACTAGCGTCGTTGGTTCAAATCCCAAGCATGGCAACACTTGCCTGGAGTTTGCATGTTGTGCCTGTGTGGGTTTACTCCAGGTACTCCGGTTTCCTCCCACACTCCAAAGACGTGCTGGTAGGTTAATCAGCTCCTTTTTAAATTGGCCCTAGTATGTGTATGTATGAATGTGAGTTAGGGACCTTAGTTGTACACCCTTGGAGTGAGAAAAAAAGTCTAATAGTTGGTAAAGATGATTTGTGTGACTTGGATTGGGGGGGCCATATGGCACTAAGGGCAAGCTCCATGCAGTACTGTAGCAGACTCTGTGTAGTAAGGAGAGAAGGAGAAGTGTCTCTAAGTGCAGCAGACCACTTTATTATAGCATGAAAAGTAGGAACACTCACATGTTAGTAGAGTAATACAGGCATGTTAAATCTGTCTTCCTCCTGTTACCACGCTCCTCCAGTGAGACGCGGACGTAGTGGGCACCAATGACAAACATTTTACATGGTGTTCAACACCATATATTTAAATGCCTGTATTACTCTACTAACATGGGAGTGTTCCTACTTTTTATGCTATATTAAAGTGGCCTGCTGCACTTAGAGGCGCTTCTCCTTCTCTCCTTTGTACACCCTTTGAGGGTTAGGAACTGATGTGAATGTACAACATATATGTAAAGCACTGCATAAATTGACAGTGCTATATAAGTACCTGAAATAAAATAATACTTCTCTTTTAATGCAAAGCATGGTAATATATGACCAGGGGCGGACTGACAACTAATGGGGCCCCCGGGCAATAGGGGATCAGGGGCCCCTGTGTCCTTGCCCAAACTCAAAAAAGCATATGAAAAAGGTACCAGGGGCATCTCATAGGGCCCCCTACTGACCCCGGGTCCTTGGGCAGTGCCCGAGTTTCCAAATGGTCAGTCCGCCCCTGCCCGTGGAAACCTTCACCACTTTAATCCTTGTCTTCTGTATTCTGCTACTGACCACCTCTAAGACAAAATCTCACCCCTGTCTTCCCCAATCTAGCCAATTCTATTTACAATAGATCTCTGTCCGCCGCCCTGGGCACTCGCCCCCTCACTACACACAGAATCAGGCCTGACTCCTACAACCCTGGCAAACAGATGACACCAAAAGTCTAGAAAAATGTAGCCATGCTCTTGCAGCAACAATGGCAAAAGACTAAGTCTCAGAAAGACTTCAGCCAATATAAATTTGTCCGCACTGCCAAGCAGACCTATTTTACCACTCTCATTAACAACTTCTCCTCCAGTCCCCATCAACTCTTCTCTTTTAACTCTCTACTTCATGCCTCCACACACTAATTCACTCACTGTCCAGGAGATCGCCAATCACTTAAAAAATAAGATTGATACAATTAGTGATGAGATCTCCACTGTACAGATATCTCAAGCATTTAACACGCCATGTCGACAGGTACACTCAACACTTCCCTCTTTCAACCCTGCTACTATAGACGAGGTTGCTAAACTTTTTTCTAACACAAACCTAACCACCTGCCCCCTGGACCCTGTTCCGCCTCAAATACTGCGGTCACCTTCTGGTTCTGTCCTACACTCCCTAACTCACATCTTCAATCTCTCCATCTACTCTGACATCTTCCCTAATTCTCTAAAGCATGCACTAGTCACCCCCATACTTAAAAAGCCGTCCTTAGATCCCACCACTCTTAACAACCTATACCCCATCTCCTTGCTCCCCTTTTCCTCCAAACTTGAAGTCTGCTCTACAACCAATTGAGTGACCACCTCAATAAGAATAATCTTCTTGACCTCTTTCTCTTAAAACTCAGAAATGATCTACTAACAGCTAAAACCAATGAACACTATTTCATACTCCTACTTCTGGACCTCCTCAAAAAAACTTTACTCCTTTGGTCTCCATGACTGTACTCTTCATTGGTTCTCACCCTACCTATCCCACCACATGTTCAGTGTCACTTACAATTCTACTTCCTCCTGTCCTCTTCCTTTCTCCATTGGCGTCCCCCAAGGTTCTGTTCTTGGACATCTCCTATTGTTGATCTACACCTCTTCCCTGGGTCAGCTGATAGCCTCCCATGGCTTTCAATATCATTTCTATGCTGACAGCACCAAAATCTATCTCTCTACCCCTCAGCTCACAACATCACTAGTTTACTAACAGATATATCAGTCTGGATGTCACACCACTTCCTCAAACTCAATCTATCCAAAACTGAGCTCAAACTCAATCTATCCAAAACTGAGCTCATAATATTTCATCCCTCATGTACCCCTTCCCCTGATTTCTCTGTCATGATCAACGGCACAACTATCAATCCTTCCCCTCCTGCCAGGGTGCTAGTTCTAATCCTGGACTCTGAACTCTCCTTTCAGCCCCACATCCAATCACTGTCCAAAGCTTGCCACCTTTACCTCCGCAACATCTCCAAAATACGTCCCTTCCTAACTAATGACACCACAAAGCTCCTAACTCACACGGCTGAGCAGTTTTCAAATCTGACAGATAGTACGGGGAAACTTCTCCCTGTACTATCTGTCAGAGGGAGGGGGGCCGGGAGCACGGCTGCGGCTATGGGAACATGTTACATGTTCCATGTTCCACCCTTAAAACGGGTGGAACATGTAACATTTTCCAAAGGTGAACTTATCCTTTAATCATATGCTCAGGTGTGCTTATTCTTCTTTATTTAATAAAAAAATTTTTTTATCAAGGTTAATTAAGAATTACAATTAGGATCACACATGGCAGATGACCAGCTGCTGTTGTCATGTGATGCAACTGCAAAATTCTCAGTAAGCCGAGCCACTGATGGTTTCAATTGTTTCCTGATTTCACAAGGGGTACTATGCAAGATTTTCACTATGTTGCCAATTTATGTTGTATCTTCTCCAGCATTTGTGAATTTGTGGAAAATTAATATGATGAAGTAAGACCAGTCCATAATAGATTCAAATGAAAGCTGTTGGTAACTGTACAAAGAGAAATCTTTTTTGCAGATTTTTTACAGTCAAACTAGGTTCACACAGGCAATAGAGGGGCAGTAAAAACAGCCAGTGGGATACATGGTTTTACTGCCCTCTGATCGTCCACCTAAAAATAAACAAATCGGCTGCTCAGGTGGGTACACATTGCTGCTGTGGTCTCTATGCTTAGCTTGTACACTTCTCTTTACTACAGATATTACCCACCGATACCAAAGACAGGTCAGAGATTTTTAATTACTTACTTATTACTTGTACTTTGTGTATAGTATGGTGTGCCTCTAAGGATGCAGCACATTTTAGAGAGTTGTCAAGTGAGCCAAACAATGCCAAAGGAAATGAAGTTGATCAACAATCAAGCACAATCAAAGGTTAGTGCAAAAAATTGTGTATTTATAATTTTTTTCAAAAGGTGAACTTAGAATTTAACCAGACGAATATGCATTCTCTATTTCAGTCCAGCATTTCCTCATTTTTAATGTAAAGGGTGTGGTGGGTGGGTGTAATATGCATTTCATCATGCATTACTGAAGTCCTATAAAGTAGCTTCAAAATTACACTTCCCATAATTCTCTTTGCCCTTTCCCTAATAGTTGGGCGTTTCATGTAGGTGTGAAGTTCTGGTGCCAACAAAAGCAGATGCTGCCAAGCTGGAAAAGAACAGGAACGATAGGCAGTGCCGTTATGTGCAGGACATAATTAGGGGGGTAAATAGGTGTGCTAATCGGAAAAGGGGAAGGCAGTGCTTTGAAGGAATAGCATCAAGTGATCACAGAGGTCACAGCATCATGCTGTAGTCATATAGATGCAAATAGGGTCCAATTAGTATTCAAAAGAAGTGCATCACATAATGTAAGCTAATAATGGGATTTGGGGAATTGTAATCCTTTTTAATCCTGTAGACTGGAAAGTTGAAATAAAGTATTAGTAATATGGGCTTTGCATAGTTTGCTCCTTTAGGCATTATTTTTTATTATTTGATTTCAGCTCTACTTTAAACAAGTACATGAAAAGCTGACTTGCAATGTAAACGCAACAAAATCAAGAAGCGGTGATTAAAAAAAAAGTGACATTGTTTAAAATCAGAAAATTTATAGATGCTAATGAAACCTACCGATGTTTGATCAAGAAGGAAAATCCCTACCTTTTCAAGCTAGACAAAACAAATAAAGGCAATTGAAGAAAACATTTTAACCAGAAGAAAGCAAAGAGTCAAATGCTCCAAACTAGTTCACAGTGCAGAAATAAAGGTCAGACTCCTGCATGACCAGTTGCAATATGTCAATATCAATTTTTAAAGGAGGTAATGCAGAAAAACAAGGAGAACATGTAAGATTTAAGATCTGTCTGCAAAAATGCTTACTTCACAGGCTCCATCAAAGAATGCTGCAGGGGCTTTGCAATCTAAGGAAAGCCATTAAAAGTAACAGACCAAACAGTCATACTACAGAAACAAGGAAAGGAATTGAAAGCAAGCATCAAGGCTCTAAAAGAACAGCCAGCTAAAGAATTCATAGACTCTGGTTTAGAGACTGATATAGCCATCAGAAAGACTGACCATAACATAAGGTTCTGTCCAACATAAATTGCTGCGCATGTGTTTTTTTTTTACTTTTAGGGTTCAAATAGTGGATGTATAGGATGCTCTCTCTTTTTGTAGAGCTCTCTAGAGTACTAGAGAGTTAACTTTAGTTTGCCTCACAGTAGTGAAATGAGCATGTCTGATTGGGTTACTTTAGGTCAGGCTGGAGGGCTGTACAGGTCAGATCTCTGGTACCTCCCCCTGGTTCTGGAGTCTTCCGGAAGATTCTAGAGGCCAGTGGACAGAGGGGTGGACACTAAGAACTGCATATTCATGGGAGTCTGACCAATCCTAGACAGACGGCCTAGCAGTGTGGCAGACAGGCCCATAAATATGAGAGAGCCTAGCCAGCAGGGAAGTCAGGTGGAAGATGGATTGTTTAGTTGCTGTCGTGTGGTTTGGGAAGGGGCCCTTGGGAAGGGGGGCTCTGCTTCCAGGCTGGAGGCTGAAGGAAGGAAGTAAAGGAAGCCTGCCTAGCCTGGAGAAAAAAATTAGCCCAGCAAGAAGCCTGAAACTAGTTTTATCCACAGCTGCAGGACACAAGGAACAGTGTGAGTACCTCTACACCCCCAGGGCTGCCAGGTGCAATACCCAGCATGTTCTGCCTGGGATAGTGCTAAGGACTGTTCTGGAATCCCTTGCTCTGGGATACTCTTTGATGCCGCCAGGTGGGTACAGAAAATATGAAGCTTGTTGTTAGAGTTATTGTTTTCAAGTCAAGTTGGGCATCCCATATACAGTACCCCTAGACCCTGTCCAAGTTGTTTGCCCCAAATAAAACAACAAAAACATGCCCATGGACTGGTTACTGACTGAATAGAGGTTGGAAAATGTGAATTGTCTGACTGTGCAGCTATTGGGGGACCCAAAAACTCAGTGATTCCTTAGGGAGATAGTACTACATTTTGATAGTACTGAACTGGGTAGAGGAATACAATTAGCATACTTTATATATTTGCTGTGTGATGTTTATTTGTAACTTCCATTATTACGTCCCCAGACACATCACAGTATTGAGCTGAATGTTTTGTTTTTTATTACTAATTATTACTAAAAATGGTGCAATAAAAATATTTAGAGAAAAGATGTAACCAATATATATATACATAGAGAGAGCAATAACACAACAGAGAGATAAAAGAAAGAAGTTTAAGAAGGTAGAACATTTGCAGAATTCCCGGTTTAAGCAGAGTTCAAGTGTCCTGAACAAAAGGGTACCTTTTCTCCCAAAGTTGGTTCCTGATGTTAAAAGGGTGTATCTCTTCATCTTACTCTCTCCAGGCATGACAGCCTGTTTTCTAGGAACCCATCAGGGTGTCTCCTTAAAGCAGAGAACCAATTGCCTCATTTGGGGAGGGGTGTTTAGGCGGA